TATCATATATTATGTTTTATTACTTAACGTATTCAATTATAAATGGACTGTTATTTTCTACAATATAGAAATTTCCAATAATCGATACATTTAAGATTGTAAACCAGATTTTTAACATCAGAGTAGCATTAGCCCCTCTTCCAGATATACGACTTATGGGAGCCAAGTTATTACCAGTTAATAATTTTAAGTTTGTCAAACATTAAATGTATGCGTTTTACCATGTATATTTTAGAAAGTTAATAAATGCGTAGTCCTAGCCCCCGATACGTATAGAATTACCATGCTCAGGTCTTGCATGCACTTAAATGTACCATCCAGCAAAAATATAGAGATCTCAATCAATGAAAACAATGTGAAATCAAACACGAACCGACTTAGAGGATTTTTCTCCGCAGACAATTTCAGTCATTATTGTCAAATCATCAACAACACGACTCTGAAGAAAATTTAACACTCAAACATAATTTATCTAAAAAACTGGAAAATGTGAAATTACAACGAAATAACATTGCACACCCACTGCCAAATAACGCAGAAACTAATGTAATAAACTTATCCTATATATTTCTCAACGAAGATCAAACTAGTATAATCCCCATTTAAAACATTTGCTAACGACACTGTTTTTGTTTTTTAATTTGGCGCAAAGCTGTACGAGGGTTATCTGCGCTAGCCGTTCCTAACTTAGAAGTGACAGACTAGAGGGAAGGAAACTAGTCAACACTACCCACTTCTAATTCTTGGGCTACTCTTTACTGACGAAAGGTGGGATTGACCGTCACATTAAAACGCCATCACAGCTAAAAGGCGAGAATGTTCGGTGACAGGATTCGAATCTACATCCTGCAGGTTGCGAGTCGAGCACTCTAACCATCAAGTCATGCCATGCACCACTGACATGTAAACATGCTTTGAAAACTAAGCAAAAAATTAATACTGAAGTTTATTCAAGTTCAAGAAAACAACGAAAAGTTAAATTGTTATCATTTCCTGAAAGTATATGAAACACAAGATCCCAATCACCGTAACAACAGTAAACATCCTTGAAGAGTTCTCTACCAAATCTAAGAAAATTTTGAGGAACATAGCAAGATAAACCAAATGTAAAAAAGAAAAGATAGAACTAACAAATGTATACAATAACCCTAACGTAGTCATCAATGAAAAAATATATAATTATACTGAATAAAATAACATACAACTTACTAATGAACAAATGGTTGGAAAGAATCCATCGAATATTAAAAAAAATGGACGAAAACTCCAACTGCTTACACTAAAAACAACTTGTCACTTTCTAATGTGATCTACATTTACATCGTTTTCAGCTTTGTAGCGTAATTATTAATATTATTTTTGTTTTACTGTCAACACTATCGGATTTATCTTTTTTTACAGACGTCAGTACTGAAAGCCTTTGCAGCGATCAATATATTCAAAGTTCCATCTACAAAATTATGATTTTGTATTGCTATTGATATTTCTTTTCCTGATAATATATATGATTTTCAGCACATACTGTCTGTAAAAATTATGATAGTCCAGTGTTATGCATGATGTTACTAATGGCTCTGACAGAATCTACTTCACTGTGTAAACCACCTAGTCTATGGCATCATTTCTTGCAATTTAGTATTACTTGCTTCTGACATTATAAGTTCAACAGTTTTCCATCATAGTGGCTGGTCAAAAGTCAGAATACATGTCACGCTATACGTCTTGGCTTGGTCATTCAGAAATATTAGTGTTGAGTATACACGTTTCGTACTTGCCCACCCCACCCCCCCCCCCCCCCACCACACACAGTGGCACAGCGGTATGTCTGCGGACTTACAACGCTAGAAATCGGGTTTCGATACTCGTGATGGGCAAAGCACAGAGAGCCCATTATGTAGCTTTATGCTTAATTACAAACAAACAAACAGATGACTGTGCAGGATCTAAACTACTCGTATGTATCATTTGCATGCTACCATTCTTGGTCGCAAAAATTATGTTGCATTCCACAACAAATGACTGTTATATGTTTTGTCATCTGCAATTATATTAACTTGTAAGTGAATGCAAGTAAAATTTTCCTTATAGTGACACTTTATTGTATATTGCAGTAAAGCTATTTTATTCTTTCTCCAGTGATGCAACATCTTTGGCTATAAGTTAAGTGTTAGAAAACAAAGAAAAAATTTTGTTCCAGATATAAAATTAGCCATAATTCCCATTTCATGAAAAGTATCATAACCAACTATACTTTTTATGTTTTATTAACATTATCTGCAACAAACTGAACGAATTTTGAGGAAACATATCCAGAGATTTCGTTGCTTTGAGTGATAATAGTACTATATCTAAATATGAGCAGACAAACCAGCGATTACTGAGTTTTTAAATGAGGAATTATGACTCGAATTGTCTTCAGCACTGTACATTGAGCGTTATTTGAAGTGGTGCTATTATTACTCTAGGTCTATCTGCCTCCACATTTTTCTAGATAATAGATACGTACTTTTAGAAGAGTTTATGCTTTGAATATCAGTTTTAATCGGCTTAGCTGTTTTGATAATTTTTAAGTTTCTGTCTCTAGGTCTTCACTTTTAAGCATAGTGTAAAGATGCTGCATAATATTTGATATTGCACTTCGAAATGTAACCATATTTCGCTTTTAATTTACTTTTTTAAATATAATTTTTTCTTTAAAAGTAGTCAACAAGTCTAGATTTTATGTGTGAAAAAACTTAATGTGTCTGACTTATCTCCCAATGATTCCTTCAGTATTTTCAACGACGCTATTAACAGTTATTTGTTCGTCGTCATTTTCTTCAAGATATTGAACAACTTTCATAAATGCAAATTTTTTTTTCCATATCTTTCTATTTGCAATATTTTCCCCCCTCAGGTGGTTCTATGTTATCATCAGTAATATGTCTTCTTTGTCTGAACTTTATGCTGCAGATCTAATTATATAAGGCATCAGATACACGCAAATCGTGAGAGCATTTTACCTGCAACTTGATTTCAATTTCCCAGTGACCATTTCTCTCTTTACACTTTCATGGATTTCGCCCTGAAAGTCTTTTGTCAGCACTAGATAAAATCCTTACAAAGTAGACAATCTTCACTAAATCGAAATCCGGTTTCACTTGAACGTAATGTACAACCGACTGTACGTGACGTTTCACCCCTTTCTTGGAATATTTTGAAGGTGTGGATTCAACTGATGGCATTTTTTATTAACATTCTGTCTAATAAATATTCTCATAACTTTATCGCCACGTTACTTAGAAGCCCTTAATATATCCCCACAGACGACAGGTCTTTATTATACATATGACAAACTTCTTCTATTATCGCTGTCTACATGCTAGTCCTGTAAATACAAGTAAATATTTATTAATGTAAAATATTATTATTTGATTATTATAGAAATCTTCAGTTTAAGTATCTTTATTTTAGATTTTCTGACACAATATGATAACTTCATCATTATAATTTTATATCCGTTCTTTGTTATACTATAAAAGATATCACTGAAATTAGCAAGACGTGATGAAATCATGCATTTTGTTGATACAGTACATCTAGAAACAATATTCCATAAATTAGCA